TGATTCAGGGAGGCGAGTAAAAGGAGGTTGGCAGCTTGATCTGATTAGAAGTGAATGAATGTTTGACGGATGAAGAAGATTTAGTTGGGGTTGTGAGAATCCCGTTCTCCGTCATTTTTTGGTGGCACAACAGAACAGACAACCAACTATTACTTCCTTCCTTCGCTATGAGCTGATATTCACAAGAGCCTCTATTCGCATATCTGAAGAAGCGCTTTTACTTTTGACAATATGCCTATCAGTGATCATACTCCTCGCTTGAATTTCCTCAAGGACTCTGCCAGCGTGCTGGACTCGCTCAGCCCTTCGACAGCATCTCACTTGTTAATGGTCCATAATCGAGTTCTTCATGACGAGTTCAAATCTCTGACTCAACGGCAACTTGACTTCGCATGTGGTGCATGTGGTAGTATCAGAAAACCTGAGAGGACCAAAGCTATTGAAATTAGAAAGAAAAAAGCAAAATCATCTAGTTCTTCTGCTTCCAGGAAAGCTTCAGCTCTAGGAGCTACGGTCTACAAATGCCTTCGTTGCCATCGAAGAACAGTTAAACCAGCAGCACGCCCCAATATAACATCTAAGCCTGACACAACAGCGGCTTCTGTTTCTACTACTCAATCCACAACATCTACCACTGCAAAATCCGTTTCCCCAACCGCACAATCTGGTGAGGCGGACCGAAGCAGTAAAACAGCCGACAACGCTAGTAGCAAGAAACGTGCGAAAGCGAGAAAGCAAGGCGGACTACAAGCTCTTCTGGCATCAAAGCAACAATCTCAATCAAAATCATCTCAGTCTCTTGATTTATTCGATTTTCTACAGCAGTGAGCTACCTCGGTGTAGCATTTTGATGCCAAGCCCGGGCATTCGGCGCTACTTCGCCTCCGAGGTGTTTTGGGACTAGCGCGGGGCTGCTACTAACATCATTGGGGAAGCTTCTCCAGCTCCAGTTGTATCGCCGTAGATCGCAACAACGATCTCGCTCTCGTTCTCCTCATTGATTTGGCTACGGCACATCATCCCGTTCTAAAGTGTGCAAGCACAATCAGCTAGACAGATGTCCTCCGACTCGATGTCCGACTATTCCCAAGATGAGGAGCACGACCCCCAGGCGGATGAGCTCCGTGAGACAGCTCTAGTGACGCTGGAAACCCTCATAAGCTCCTGCAGTCAGCAAATGCAACCTTACCTGGCCAACGCCGTCAAATCATCCCTTCGCTTCCTCAAGTACGATCCTAATGTGGCCGATGTCGAAGACGATGAGGAAATGGGAGGCACTCAGGATGATGGCTCCGAGGATGACGCAACAGAGGAGCCCGACTTGGAAGACGATGAATTCGGTGACTTTGAAGATGAAGGAGGCTATAGTGATATCGATGATATGAGCTGGAAGGTTCGACGCTGCGCAGCAAAGTTGCTCTACACTGTCATCTCAACTTATGGGCGTACTCGGGCTTTGGACGACATGTCTTTATATCAGCAAATCGCTCCCGCTCTCATTGCCCGGTTCAAGAAGGAGAGAGAAGAGAGCGTGAAGCTTGAGGTCGTCTCAACCATGACTGCTCTTGTCCGAAAGACCAGTGAAGGAGCTATGATTATAACCTCGAATGGGTTTCTGGAATCGGTGGGAGGATCGAAAAATTCGAGAAAGAGGAGACGCCAGGACAGCGATGCTAGTATGATTGATTTTGAGCCCAGCATCGGTACTTCTTCCGCAGTCAGCACGCCAGTAATCGCTCCATCGTCGCCCAAGACCGGTCCCCAGGCTGAGCTAAGCAGGTCGGTTCCTGTTATCGTCCAGAGCTTGGTGAAGATGTGGAAATCGGCTTCGGTGCCTTTGAAGCAAGCCATCATTGTCCTACTGAAGAGCTTGGCTCTCGTGCGCTATGGCGGTCTAGCAGATCATCTGCAGCAGATCGAAGATCCCATTGCTGATGTCCTGAAGTCTTCATCCACAGGCAGCGCGACTGCAACCACTGGCCCCGCTGTCAGTGCCGGAACCCTACAAACCGAAACACTGAGCCTCATCGCTGCTATTGCCGAAACTCATACATCCGATGCACTTCTGCCCTTCCTGATTGCGTTGATTCCGGGCGTGATCGGTGCTGTCAACGACCGGAACTACAAGGTCAGCAGCGAAGCTCTTGGAGCTGTCGAGCAAATCATCAAAGCTCTGACCCCACCTCGTGTCTCTGCAAATTCTCGCGATCTCATCTCGCAGTTAGAAAAGCTGTACGATGAGATCCTCTCCCGTATCACAGATACGAGTGCCGACCTTGAAGTTCGGCAGCGAGCCATTCATGTCTTTGGTGTCCTTCTGGCACGTACGTCTGGGGAGAAGGGCGCTGATTTCCTGTCATCAGATCGGCGATCAAAGGGTCTTTCTGTCTTGGTAGATCGCTTGAGGAATGAAACTACTCGTCTTGCATCTGTCCGTGCCGTGGATGATGTAGCTGTCCTCTGCACCAAGGAGACAGACGTTACCGCATCCTGGGTCAGTGAGGTGACTGTGGAACTTGGTGCCCAGCTACGCAAGTCGGACCGCGTTCTGCGTGGTGCGAGCCTGGAAACTTTGCGTAGCTTGGCCATGAACCCAAGTACAAGGACCCATTACGATGGAAAGACAATGAAGGAGCTGGAGGACTGCCTTCTACCTCTAATCAGCGCTGATGACTTTCACTTTCTTGCACCCTCCCTCATTATATTGGCAAAGCTCATACCCGGTAATGCCCAGCTTCTTGTCAATGAAGGCTTGGTCTCTGCTCTATGCTCTATTGTTCTCGCTCCACTCGTTGGCACGGTGCTCAAGGCATTACTTCTCCTGGTGAAGGTTATCGGAGAGGAAGGTGCTGGAGCTGAATTGATGCAGAAGCTTCTCCGGGACGTGGGTATCAACGGCGACACCTCCGTTGTTGGAAGAGCGATTGGAACTCTGCTTGTCCATGGCGGTTCCAAATTAGGCGTTAGAATGGAGGACTTCTTGACCGAATTACAAACTGCGCAGGATGCTCAACGGAAATGCCTTGCACTGGCCATCATTGGTGAGATCGGTCTTCGCATGGGCCCTGCGTGCTCCTTAACTCCGGATCTTTTTATCACCCACTTCGATTCGAAGTCTGATAAGGTCAGGCTGGCTGCTGCTACTGCTCTTGGAAACGCGGCGGCAGGTAACGTGAAGACTTATATGCCCATCATCTTGGATGGTCTTACGAAGTCAAACCCTCGAAGCTATCTGCTTCTGCACTCCGTTAAGGAATTACTCCAACATCCCGAGATTGTTCGCCCTGACGTCGCTCCTATTGCTGTCAAGTTATGGCAGGCTCTCCTTCTGGTGTCGGAAGAAGAGGACAATCGTGCTGTGGGAGCAGAATGCATTGGTCGCCTGGCATTGATTGATCCGGTGGCTTACATCCCGCATTTCCAGGTAAGCTTTGCGTCCTTATCCACATCTCTTTCCTTTTTCTGACTTCATTTCTCTAGGACTACCTCTCCAGTTCCGATCCAAACATTCGAGGTGTTGTCATATCTGCATTCCGGTACACTCTTACAGATTCGCGGGGCAGTTACAACGATGTGTTGAGACCTCTGATTGTCCCGCTTCTGGTCAACATGCTCAGTGACCGCGATCTTGGCAACCACCGCCTCGCTCTGACAACGCTCAATTCTGCCATCCACAACAAGATGAATATCATCCTGCCTCACCTTAGCGAACTGCTTCCGGCGGTCTTTGGCGACACCCAGGTCAAACCTGAACTCATCCGCGAGGTGCAGATGGGTCCATTCAAGCACAAGGTTGATGATGGCCTAGAGCTGCGTAAGGTACATTATCCTGCATATTGACGCATCATCTCAGCTTCACCGAACTAACATTCATCAGAGCGCCTACGAAACACTTTATGCCTCCTTGGACACCGCGTTCTCCGTCACTCATGTTTCCGAGTTTTTCGACCGTATCCTAGCCGGACTCGAAGACGAGCAAGATATCCGCACCATATGCAATCTCATGACCTCGAAACTGATCCCAATCGCGCCAGAAGAAACACAACGCTACCTCGACCAGCTTTCGGAACGTTACTCTGCCGTATTATCCTTCAAGCCCAAGGATAATGCAGTGAAGCAGGAACTCGAGAAAGCACAGGAGGCCTCCATGGGTATCCTCAAGGTGACGCGAGAGCTAAGCAAGGCATTTCCCAATGCTGAGGTCTCCGGTGATCATCACAAGTGGAAAGCTTACGTGGAATGGGTTCGAAAGACGTTTACTACCCAGCTCAAGAGCCTCGAGACGGAATTCTAGGCGTGCTTTTTAGACGAAAGAACGACATCATGATGAGAGGGAAAGCTTGGCAACGGTACCGATCAAAGCTCGCTGTACTGTGCATTTGTTCTTAGGAGCGTAGCAAAAGTCCTTCGAGGAGTCGAGATGGATACTCGTTTGTCTCGACTGGATTTCTACTGGCTTGACAAATGATAATGACTGAATGCCAACTGTAGCCTTTTTTTCATCTATCAGGACCAGTAACACATGTTGATATCGTCTGTAGCACGAGCAGAGGATCCAGATAGGCAACCTCGACAACATAATATGTCTGGGAGCAGCTGAAGCGAGAATGAGAACACGCAACATTGCAATGGACCTCGTTAAGGATGGTCAAGAATCGACTGATAAATAAAGACCTTTCAAAGATGAAAATATGCTTGTTTGTCATTAATGCTAAATGGTATCGCTCAACGATTCCTCTTGAACCTGAACTCCAAGTATGCAAATGTCTGCCGCCATGTAACGCCGAACCTCATCGGAAGAAATTAAGTACTCCAACATGGACACAATGAAAAACGGAGGAATGGAAAAGAGGTCGATGTAATAATACGCTCAGAGTAGTCACGCCGTGAATGCAATTGCCGAACTCCGTTCCTCCAATATAACAGATAACCAACCGACCCCAAGACAAAATGATTATTGCCAAGCTTTTTGACAGCAACTGGGAAAAGAAAGAAAATCCTTATTGAGTGATAGCCTTTTTCTTCAGCACGCCGAGTTGCTCCAGTTTCGACCATGCGTGGTCCATATCGGAACCTTCGGTTAGTACAGGCCGAAATTCCAACCCATCCAGGATCTTGATCGAACCGCCGGTTCCAGCGTACAGCATGAGCTCAAATATTTTGCGGCGAAGGCGTGTTGCATCATCCAGATGGGAGAGGTATTTCTGGTCTGCCTGCGCATCTGCGGTTGGCAGAGTGTATGGATCGTCGATTTCTTGCTCTGTTTCGGCAGTTGTCGCCCATAGCGTCGGACGCATATCACCTTCATGCGGCCCTACATCAGCTAGGGCAGAGGCAAGATCTAAGCCATCCATTGCTCTCTTCTTGCGTTCTTCCGGAATTGCTCTTATCCTCCTTTTGCCAACATCTTTCCCGTTCCCAGTCAGAGCCGGTGGATAGAACCGCAATGTAAGGGGATTTCCCCTCAGGTCGACCTTGTGAAGAGAGCAACCCTGTCCCTGTCTGGTTCGTCCCATTCGACTCAGAACCTGACAGAGCTTTCTCATTCGTACGATAGAATTGCCAGCAATAGCCAGCCGGGAAAGGCAATTCAAGCCCACCAATTCAGTGACGCTGCTTAACGAATTGAAGTTGAGGTTCAGAACTTTTAGGTTGGGAAAGTTTGAGGAGAAATCTGCAGGTAGACTCTGGAGATTGCATGAGGCAGCGTCGAGAAGTTGTAAGCCCAAAAGTGGAGCGGAGGGTGAGAGAGCCCGCGTCGATAGTTTGTTCGAAGAAAGAAATACCTTGCGGATGTCTTTGACTTTTCCTAGGTCGATGTCCAGGTATGTATTTTTCTCATTGCCCGACCTTTGCTCACGAACTGATAAAATCTCCAAGGCGCGGCACCGTTCTAGACCGAATACCGTAGACAGAAAATTCTGATCGATATAGAGAAGGTTCAAAGACGAAAACATGCTGACATCGAGAGTCTGAAGCTGGTTATTTGCAAGCTTCAGTGATCGTAGCATCCGCAAGGGCGCTGATACATCGATCTGCTTCAGCTGGTTGGAGCTGAGGTCAAGCTTTGACAAGGATGGGAGGGAGTCGAGGTGTCGAACGGATACCAGCCGGTTGTGACTCAGGTCTAGTTCTTGCAAGCGAGTCCTGCTCGGAAATGGAGAGACAATAGTTAGCATTGCAGGGCACGTCGAGTAAAGCCACACTAACAGATCAACTCACAATTCCCCAGTGGCAAAATCAATCGCCGCGAGTGAGTTGTTACTCAGCTTCAAGGTCAAAAGGCCGTTCAGGTCAAGTATACCATCAATATTCCGGATATTGTTTCCGTCTGCTTTGAGCTCTCTCAGATGAATAAGACTACCGAAGCCATCCAGGCTGTCCAGCTCATTGTTGGATACATCCAGATACTGTAGGTTAACCAAATGGCCCCACGCAGTCAAGTTCGAAAGACGATTCCATGGTATTCTGAGAGTCCTCAAGCTCAGAGGTACACCACCAAGCTGACCTATCTCATTGTCCGAGACGTCAAGGTCTTCTAGACGCGGACAGAACTCGTTCAATTTGTGCAGCGTTATCAGCCCTTTGTCTCGAAGGACCAAGCGCCGTACATGATCCCAGTACGGTTCAAAAGGTTCCGCTTCGGTCAAGTGCTTGACCAGATCCTCAGTCGCCAGAGCAAACGTCCCATGGATTTGGCGCAAGGATGTAGAGCGCGTGCGCTGAGCGACATAACTCAATTCAAGGTGTAATGGCTGGTCAATCCCGTCGGCGGTAAAGTCAGGCAGAGGACTGAGATGGAAACTATATGTTGTATCCGAGCCAGTTTGTGTGAGGTACATCATGGAGTTCTCTGGATGATCCTTGTCAGGAGTAGACCCTATGTCCCCGGAATCTCCTCGGAGTATGCTGAGATCATTGTCCGCAAATTCACTCTTATCTTCTGTTTTGGAGAGCAAATGTCGTAGGAGAGCCTGTCCTCCGGGAGAGCCACGGTCTTTGATAAGTTGAGAAGGTCGGGTAGGCCGTGGGCGGCCGTGTGGCCCTTGTGCTATAGTTTGAGCACCTTGTTCGATCGTATTCGCCGCGTGACGTACGGATCCTGTTTGGCTTCCATCATTGTAGACAATATGGGAAACTAGAGGAGAAGAAAAGCTGATCGTTACGACCCGGGCCTGATGATGAATGTCTCTATCATGTCGTGGAGGCTTTGACAACCGCCCTTCATGGAGCTGGATCTCGTGCTCAACTTCGCTTGAAGTTTCAGTGTCTTTCTGCTCGTCCGTACCCCATAAAGTGGCTCCCGTTTCTGAATTCGGCGCGCTAGAAGTAAACCGAGTCAACTTGGAACGAAGAGTACTACCGCTAGCCGGCGCCTCGACAACAGCTGGTTGTGAGCCAGAGCCAGACTTCGAGTCGGATATTTTGGTACCGACGGAACTTGTGAGATTTCCACCTCTTTGGCTCGGAGGAAGACTTTTTGTTTTGTCGGGCGAGGATAAACTGTGTACCCTCATCATTTCCTGTAGTTCGTCGACGCTGAGGTCAGGGATATCCTTGAAAGGGTCCTCCTCGCTATCGTCACCCTTCGGCTTCTCTTGGGACTGTTCGTGCTTTTCTTTGACCCATTGGTGCTTGGAACGATCATAAGTAAACCCGTTCACCTGTTCGGGGATCAAACGCGATACAATATCGGAAGACAACACTCCCTTCGCATGTGAGCTGAAAGAAGAGGCAGTGGGTATTGAGCGCGAGCTCAGGCTTTTGGAGGAAACATGGGTGTCCATCGTCAGGGGAGGGTCCACATCAGTATTTCGTTCCTCATTCGGATTGCCAGGGTGTTTCCGCTTCGGGTGCTCAAGATTCTCTCCTCCTTTACTGTCACCTTTCTCCAGGTGGAGAGACATGACGGAAGAGTTGACACCAAACTCCGGGTCATCATGTTCCTGGAATCTCTTGAGATGGCTCAGAATTCGAGGATTAGGCTCTTTAGGCTCTCGTAATTTGCGTATATCTACACCTTCACGACTGGGAGGGCGCGAGAATTCTTCCCGAGTTGACTCATCTTCATAAGTCTCGGCATCATCACCTTCGGAATCAGACTCCTCGACGCTCGAGAGGCCGCCAGCGGGCTTGCCCTTTGCTCGGATTATGTCCATAATTTTCGTCGCTTCGTTCAAAAAGTCTTGTGTCGTGATTGACCCCTTTCGGATCTGTTCATTGACGCCTGTCACCCTCACCATCGGTATTTTCGCCTCCTGGGGAGACCTTGCGCCTATGCGGGCGTTTAGATCACCCTCTCCGTTAGACGAAGATCTCTTCCTCAACGAGGACCTTGTTTGACTTGGGGTTGGAGTCCTGGGTCTCGGTGTTGATTCTTGTGGAAGAAGTGACTCCTCGTTACCATGATCCATGCCATGTTGGATCAAGCTTCTCTGCAGTAGGGACAAATTATCAGTCGGTTGACCGTTGCCCTCCCTTGCCCCGTAAATTTCACCTCCCGTCATATCAAGGCTGAGAATGGTTCTGCGCCTTTTCGGGTTCGGATCCTTGGCTGGGGTGTCCCTTGTCCATTGATTTTCCCAGTCGTCTGGATTGTCCATCTGATTAACGCTGGGCTGCGGCCTCATTCTTGATGCTCGGCTGGAGCTAGGCCTATGTATCTCAAAGTCGCGGTTGTGGTTTCCAAAAGCACTATTTCGAAGGTGTTGTCGTCTACCAGAAGGCTTTCGGCGAGAAGAGGGGTGGAAGTTGGACTCTTCGACATCATTATTCAAGAATTTGGGTTCATACGGGCTTGTGTCCGAGAAATCAAAATGATCGAGTTCGCCGTCACCAAATCGGCTAATTCTAGGCTTCATCATGTTGCGGGAGCGTGGACGTTCTTGTCTTCTTGTGGAGCGATCGCCAGGCGTTTCCTGCCTCACATGCAAGAAACTTCGACTCTCTCCTTTGCGCCTGGCCTCTTCGGACGGCGAAACCGGCTCGTCTTCCTCGGACAGATCGCCAAACGTTTCCTCAAACTGGCTCATTCGGCGCAGAAGCCTGTTGTTGGTGAAGGTATCATGGTTTCCAAAAAGTTTGAGAGGGCTCCCAGAAGACGGCATGGCAATGGGATTGCCGTCACCACTGGGTGCTCTAGCGTAGGCAGAAGAAGGCCTTGGTAAAGTTGGAGGTTCTGTAGCACGAGAAATCTTGTTATAAAAGGGAGGCGAGCTGCGGATTCTTGAGTTTGAGGGCAAATATGGAGAAAGACGTTGAGAGAGAAAGGAGGATGGAGAAAACCGTCGCTGCGGAAAGAGACCGTCGTTTAGATATTGCTCTCCGCGCAGGTTCGCAAAGGCGCCGCGTCCTCGGTAGTCCAGAGTGCCAGTGGAAAGGTCCTGAGGTAAAGAATGACTTGTGGTATCAAGTAGGTCATCTTCTGGAAGAGAGTCTAAGAGCTCACTTTGTTGATGGAGCAAGACGCTATCGCTGGCTCTAGAATCCGGTCGCTCCCGTGCACCCACCGAAAGTCTTTCAAGCTTGTTCGTCACTTGTTTCAGGGCTGACTTTATGACCTCCGACGTGGCCTGTCCTTCCACAGTGTTGACCCGCGAGAACACGATCGGCGTAATACCTTCATTGCGAAGATCCTCCAATCCGCTTGCAGTGCGTATCTGGTTTTCATTCCGGGATACACCATGACTGCTCTTATTGAGATCGTGTGCGTCGTTGTCAGGCGCTTTCTTGATCTCCAGAGTTCCATTTGAAGACGGTGTAGGGCTTCCGATTGGTCCTTGGTTATCACGCTGCACTGTCGCTGCTCCTTCTGACCGCTCAGAATCCTGGTCCAGAGAATCTTCGCTATTCGCTCCGGATGTCTCGATCGAAAGCTTGCTGGGCTTTCTGGTGTGTTTGCGCGCGGAGCTGTTATTTGTAAAATCCCACATATCATCGGCCGGTTTCATCTTTGCAAAGGCATCTTTCTGTTTTGTATCTGAGCCTGGTGTTGGAGGCTTGAAAACGCTTTCCAGTCCTATCGGCGCAAACAAATCTCGCTGCTCGCCAGAAGGCAGTTCTCCATGGACAAGTCGTTTCCGCCATTCGGGTGTTGTCGCCTTCGGTTTGTTTGGTCTCACTTGAACAGTATCCTGCTGGCCGGACGGGCTGGAGACATTAGAGACAGACCGCAACGGCGATCTAGAATCCATGGCCGGCTGTTGTTTACGCCCGGAAGGCAGACTGGGCCTGGGGCTTTTCCTTGTTTTGTCCGGGACCGGTGATCTCAACTTCGACGGAGTCTTCGGCGTTCTGGGAGTTTTAGGCGTCGGGGGCTCTTTCTTGTAAAAATGGCAGGGTCGAGTCACTTTCTTCTTTCCATTGGCAGGCGACTGTTGTTCGGCCAAGCGACGCGCGGGGATCGGAATGCGACTTGGAGTGTTCTGGATACTGGAACGGCGGGAGTGGTTCTGGGATCGAGAAGGAACGGGGCTGGTAGGACTGGCTGGTGTCGAGACCCAGTCGTCCGAGAGATTGTCCAGCCATGGTGTGTTGCCCATTTTCTATGATGGTTTTGCGCTGGGCAAGCCGGGCGCGTTTCGCAATCACAGAGCTGCAGTGAATTGCACAACCAGTGGTAAGCAATACAAACAAAACATTAGATGGATCCACAACAATATCAACCAATTACCACCGCGGAAGTCGGAAGAAGGGGCATATTCAAAATGAATATTGAGTATGAAATTGCTCTTGAGCAATCAAAAATTGTAGCAGTAAAGCTGTATGTTTGATTAACTATCAGTCCGGAAGATAATGTTATGAAAGTGGAGCTGGAACACAGTTGAGATCGATAAGTTTAAGGGTGGTCGGGGCAACCCCAGCAGGTTTTTTGACCTTTAATATTACTGCAAAGGCTCTCCTCACAGATCATGAAACGCATTGATCGAGAAGCAAATCACAAATATCCCATTTCAGTGTAGTGATGTGGTTGGGACATCTTGATCCTTCAGCATATGCTTGTTGCTCCTGAGAGACTTGCTGGACTTCTTTCTACCCAGTGATAAACATTGAGTCTGCCCATCCCCACTTCTCGCTACGTGCTTGTCAAGCAATCGTCGGATCCATTAAGGTACTCTTTCGGAAAAATAATAAGTTGCTAAGATCTGTCTACGAGTAATGCGTACACACTGGCTTGAAACGCCCCAGAAGCGAGGGGTCCAGCGACGTAGTGGATACAATATGGGGAGGGGCTATGAGAGGTACTTCTACTGGTTGTAGCAGAAGCAAGGCACCATCTGCAGGCAGTAAGGAAACGGGCAGCTCTTGAGGCCTTCGTCAACGATTAGTATATGGTGCCAGCGCAAGTCCGTTGAGGCAGAATGGCCGTGCTGTAAATTGATTTGATTTGACCAGGTACCATCATATTTTTATAATATCACAATGTGCTACCTCTGGTATTCTTGTGATATCCTCTCTGCAGAGGTACCTCTCTATGTGTCACTGTTTTGACTACCAGGATTGGTAGCATTACATAAGCCGCCACGTCTGGTTGCTGTGGCATTATTTACACAGGTTAAGTCCTTTTTCGCATGTGATCTTAATGAACTTATCCACGACAATCCACAGCTGTCAGCCATGAGGCACCACCATACCCTGGTCCAGACGATATGAGAAAACATACGCAGACGTGCTTCCCTATTCAGTTGCTCAGATGCAGGACCGAACTGCAGCAGCACTTCAAGCGATTAGCTCCGTTGATGACCTCCGCATCTCAACCAGATGCCACCTCGTCCACCCACCTCCCCGCTTTCTCTGGAAACATGCTCACCTTCCGCTTCCGACATGGATATCGATGGAGTACTCGGCTCCGATGAAGAACTAGACGAAGATGAGTGGTCTGCTCGACGACAAAGGATTGAGAGGCTCGCGGAGTCGTACTTGAATGGCACTCCGCTTTTCATACTCTCTGCTTCGCTCCGGGGGCCGTTCGACAGGGACTGGGTGAACCCTTGGAAGAAGTCAAGAAGGAGAGTGCCTAGCGTTGGAAATCGAGACAGTCGGCCGGCGAGCGATACAGCCGCAGCGGAAGAGATTGTGATACAGGAGACCAACTCTCGGAAGAGGAGACGGTACCATGAATTGCAAGATATCCATGGGTCAGATTCTCCTGTCGGTCTCTCGCACTTGCATGTTCCATCCTCTATTCGCAATGAGGATCTTCGTGCAAAATCGAAAAGCCCATTGTCGTCGAGAGCACGGAGTGAGAAACGATCCGGGGTCTCGATGGCCTCTGAGCCATCACCGAAAAGGCCAATACCTTGGGCAGGACCATCCGGTCTACAAGGGCAAGATCAAGAAGCGAGTCCGTTTGTTAGCCATGGTGCTCCTTGGTTGAGGAAGGATCGAGTCTGGATCAACTCCCGGAATGTTGATCCTCCCACATCCCCTACAACCACTGTCTTCAGTCGCCAATCCGATATGAGAGCTCGTGCGACTATATTTCGCTCATCCGAACGGCGATTTCCGGCCAACACAATTCCGTCTCAGCGTCGTTCCAGCATGGATTTGTCCACTAGCGCGGAATCTCCGGTCCATATTGTCACCCGCCAGCGATCCATTGCTGGCGAGGATGGATCGAAAAGGAATGCAACGGAGTCGATGCATAATCAGTCAGTAAACAGTTCGGAGAAACACAGCACTGTTCCTAACGAAAATATGAGCAGCTCACTTCAGATCGTTTCGTCGTCGTCACAACTACCTAAGTTTGAGTACCGTCGGCGGAAGGTGCATGCTGCTTCTGGACAGGAACATACCAGTTCCCCAATGGTCCTGGACAAGAGAAAGCCACCAGTAGTAGCTGAGGTGGAGAAGGCGTCCAATATCACGGCCGATCGTCCGCCTCAAGCGCCTGCACTGCGAAACGTCTCATTCGCAGACGCAGCGGATCTCTGCCAAACGGAAAGCTCGCAGGCATCACATACTCTGACAAAGGATGATGCCACGGTCTCCAATCCCCCCGATATGGAAACAGCCCAGAATCCTAAGGCAGCCAGATCGATGCAGGGCAATACTAGCGAAAGGTTACATTCTGCCCAACGAGTACCTGGAAACTCAGCCATAATGGATTGCGTTACGTCGCTGCATACTATTGCTGTGTCGAAAGAAGATACAGAGTATGATGGTGATACTATCCCAGAGGCCCAATTTTCCACGCAGGCAGCCGTTTTACTCGCTCAGAGATCTTTCCAAAAGGACTTGGAAAGCCCGGAGCCCGAGGAGCTTCCTTTGCACCGAACCCCTAGCCTCAATACATCTCCTGCAAACGAAATCACACCGTTCTGTCAAGTGGATACTCCCGGCAAGGTGGAGATCACAAACAAGTCATCAGGACCTCCGCGTACCGAATTGCCAGTGATGAGCACGCAATGCATCATCGATGCAGTCACTCCTTTCACTTTTAGTACAGAGAAGAAGAAGAGTAACTACCGTGTTATTTCATCGGCAAAGAGTCGTTCAGAGAGAAGGAAATCACAGGATGTCAACCTTACTACTGGCATAGCGCCATCCATGCACCCATCACCATCACCGAGCATAAGGGATCACTCAGAGCTCAGGAATCCAGATGCCGGCAGGAACATCGACGATGACTCCAGGCCCCAGATGTCTATGCTGCGTGATTCCCAACCTCAGAGCCAAAATAGTGCCTTGCCAATGACGTTGACAGGAACGACACCGCCCACCGCCCAGGACGGACAAGGGGTAATCGCAGGTGCAGATAGCTTTAGCCTCAGTCAAGCCATCGCAGATGCAGGAAGCTGGTTGCAACAGAGCTTTGAGATCAACCGAGATCTTCAACAGTGTAGTAGCGCGCGACCTCCTTTGCCTGCAGAGCGTCGTGCTCTACTTTGAGCGCCAATGCAAACAACTGATGAGCATGCCCGGCTATTGCTGATTACCAGGGCTTGGTGTGGTTCCTGGAAATATGGCGGCTGTACATATAGATATATTTTGCCGTATTTAGTGACATACATGATTTATACATTTTCTTTAGCTAACAATTAAGCATTAAATATGGCCAATTAATGTAAATACATCTATCGATAATGATGCTAAATGCAACAATCTCGAACAGGATGAAATAACATATATTTAATCATTCGTATCAGAGCAAGTGATTTGCATAGTCAACAACTGTGAAAAGGGAAAGATGACGCTGGGTCGAGCTATGGTCTGCGGGATAAGGTACTAGCGCGGCGCAGCTCTGCGATTGCGCTTGCGGCCGGGTATTGAGATGCAGCATGATCAACCGTCCTCCACTCCCTTTGCTTACCGCATCCTGTTGATGGCGCGGACTTGACTTCATTCAAATGGCTCTGACATCAGTATGCTTGTCTGATTACTGAAATGAAGCTCTCAGAGGATACTGACTAGCTCTTCGCAGTGGAAAGCGTTCAACTTCTTTGACGTCTCCTCGGTCAAACTTCCAGAAGACTGCTCGTCAATACTAAAAGTACACGATTGGCATCCCCTAAATCACCCATCTGTTCGCAGTCTGGACTCTAACAATATCCGATTCTGCTTAGTCCGAACTCACGTCTCTCAGCGCCGGCTCCTCTAATCTCTTTATCGCATCTACCGATGGCGTGGTACACATCGTCTCCGCCGGATTCAAGATCGTGCGATCTTTCAAGGCAGCGGACAATGGCTCCATTACGCATATCAAACAGATAGAAGGCACATCACTGCTTATAACCATTGCGGAAGACCTCCCGAACGAGCCCGTGCTGAAAGTGTGGGCGCTCGACAAACCTGAGAAGAAAACCGGAGTTCCGCGTTGCTTGTCTACAACGTCGATACAGAATGCGCGGAGGCCGTTTCCTGTTTGTTCTCCCTAGTTTGACGTATGACTCAGATAACTGATCATTGGACGAGGTATAGATATCTGCCTTCGCGGCTCTGGAAGATTTGTCGCAGGTAGCGGTGGGATTTGGCAACGGATCGGTCACAATCATTCGCGGCGACTTGATTCATGACCGTGGTGCCCGACAACGCATTGTCTTTGAGTCGGAGGAGCCGATTACTGGGCTCGAGGTACAAAGCGGGGCATTATCGACACTCTTTATCTCGACAACGAGTCGAATATTGACCTTGGTCATCTCTGGCAGAGGACAAGGTCAACCAGCGCGTGTACTGGATGACTCTGGCTGCGGCGTTGGCTGCATGGCGCTTGACAAAGACACCGGAGATATTGTTGTTGCTAGGGAGGACGCTATATACACCTATGGGCCGCATGGACGTGGCCCGAGCTATGCATTTGACAGCCCAAAGAACTCCATCAACGTATTCAGAGACTATGTGGCCTTGGTATGTCCTCCAAGGGCTGCCTTGGGAAACCTTCGCAGCCAGGCCGACGAGATCTTCAGCACGACGACTTTCACGCTGCTTGATACGGATCTCAAGTTTATAGCTCATTCGGAATCTCTGGCAGCGTCTGTCAAGCATGTTTTCATAGAATGGGGCGACTTGTTCCTCCTTTCGACAGATGGAAAGGTATAATCCC